TCCCAGCCGCCTCGGGTTGGCTGTGCCGCTGCCGGAGGTGACGTGGGGCCCAGCGGGGCTCAGAGGGGCCCCTGTGCTGCCACGGAGCCAGGGCCCGGCTTAGGGCCTGTGGTTTCTGGCCCTGGCCCTTGGGCTCCTAGAAAACGACCCTGTCTTGGATTCATCAGTGCAGGGAGAGCCGAGGGTGCCGCGGAGTACCAGCTACCCAAAGCCAAGCAAAAGGGGGGGTGCCGTCCGTGCCCGGGCTCCCCTGGGCCTCCACAAAGCTCCCAGCTGGCCACTTCCCCGCCTGTCTCACTGCTGGGGCGGCCCTGGCTGTGTAACTTCGTCCTCAACGGTGGGGAGAGGAGCCGCCTCCAGTCCCCCAAAGCACACCGGGGGGCAGCAGTGCAGGCCTGCAGAGAGGGCAGCGCCTACTCGCAGGAGCCAGGGGTCTGGGCCTGGTCTGGGCCAGGTCCTGAAACACCAATCAGGGGCTTCCTGGTGAGAAGGGGGGCTGCCCCTTGGGGTGAGCCATACAGTAGAGACTCACTCCTGAGGAATCAGCGTCTGGTCCTGGCTCTGGGAGCTGGGGAGGGCCGGGCCATGGCAGGGACACAGAAGGCTGGAGCACACTTGGTGCTGGGCCTTCCCAGGCCAGCAGGAACAGGAGGGCCCCAGGGACGGGCCTGGGTGTGGGGGGGTGCATGCCCCTCTAGCACAGACACATGGCTGGGAAATGCCTCCAGGCCCACATTTGCAATGCGGAAGGACCCACAGAATGTGCAACAGAGTTGGGGAGAGATGAGTGTTTTCAAACAACAGGGGCCGCGCTCAGCCCGCCCACCCAGGTGCTGAGGCCTCCCAGAGACAGTGGGGAGCTTTCACAAAAGGCACAGTGTGAACAGGGACGGGCAGACGGGGGCGAAGGAGGCCGAGGTGGGACCCAGGAAGGAGGGGCCCCTATGGTGGCGGCTGGGAACCCCCAAGAGGAGGCCAGACCTGATGGGGAGAAGCATGCTGTGAAAAGAAAAAAGGCGAGCGGCTGAGGGCGTAGGACCTGGTCACTCGGCTGCGACTCCAGCAGCGGGGGCCAGGGGCCCTCGGAGACCAGCAGACCGCAGGGGTCCTCCAGACGGCTCCAGAGGCCAGGCGAGGCGGCTCCCTCATCCTCTAGGCATCTACAACACAAACAGAGAAAGAGAGCGGGTTAGAGGGGAAGGTGGCAGGCCCAGCGGGCAGTCGCAGGCAGACTGCACAGCTGGCCTGGGGGGACGGGGTGCAGGGCAGGGGCTTGGGGCGCGGTTACCCCAGCGGGGACTGCAGATGAGGAACTTTCACGGTTTTCTCTCCTCTCAGCCCTCCCAGGCTCAGGTGGGAGGCAGCCCCCACCCCAGGTGTCTTTCTGGTAAATCCACTTTTAAGAGAAAGGAAAAGCCACCAGCTTCCCTGGGCCGCTCAGGACACACAGGTCTTCCGGCCGGAAAGTGGGAGCCCTCTGGCGAAGCGGCGCACGCCGTGGCACTGGGCAGTGAAAGTTCGTCATCCGGAGCGGGCAGGGACCAGAGACAGACTCAGAGAGCCCGGGGTGCACACGGAGAGACAGAGGGTGCCCTCGCTCCAGACAGGACAGGGCGGAAGTTTTAAAAAGCATTTGCTGGAAAATCCCCCGTTACTGAAGAGGAGAGTTAAAAACTCGCATTATAGAGTCATTTTCTCGGAAAGGTGAAAAATCATTTAAGATACACAACGCTGAGAAAAACATCACGTTTATTAGAGAGGCAGGCACGAGGGTACAACTACAGATGCCAGACAGAGCCTTGCCGTGGAGGGCGAGAACAGAGACAGTCACAGGCCGCGGTCAGACACTTACTCAGAACCCAGTGTCTACAATAAACTCAAGTGCGGAGCAGCCGGCGGGGCCCCAGCTACCGGGTCCTTCCGGCTCCCCAGCGGTTACAAAAACCCAAAGGTCATTAGGCAGCAGAATCACCAATAAAACAAACAGATAAAAGAGTAAAACGTTAAAACAACGAATTCCAGTCACCCTTCCCGTTTCAAATGGCAGCACAGACCGTGCGTGGGCGGGAGGGGCGAGGCCACCGGGGACCGGCGCTCGGCCAGTCGCCGCGCACACGCGAGGCTGAGAGTTGGCAACTGCGAACAGTCGCTCGTGGGCAGCACGCGGGCAGCATGCGCACACGGGCCGCTGGAAGCGGACAGCTGCTGCGGGTTCAGAGCACTTGGCAGCCCCGAGCGCCAAGCACGCACGGGGGCTCCCAGGCGCGTAACGGTGCGGAAGCTTCAGCCTGCCCGGGTCTGAGCGCTAGTGTGGCTGAGTACGAGAGTCTGCGAGCTGACGAGACCCTTTCCTTCAAACCCGTAACTCTTGGGGGACCCGTCGGCCCTGGCTGGAGATGGAAATTTCCGGGTTCGGTGGGGCTGTCCCAGTGCTCTGCTCATCTGCAGCGTGACCCGCTAGCCCGAGGCTGCGGGTCCTCTCCCAGCCGTGGTCTGGGGGCTCCAGGGGGCAAGACCACAGATGTGGAGCCGACCCGCTCCCGCCCCAGCCCCGCACCCAGCTAGTTCGGGTTGCTCAGCTCCAAGCACACAGGCTCCCTGGACTGCCGGGGAGCGCGGTGGGGTTCAGAGGCCCACCCACATGCCTGGCCCCGAGGCTGCTGCAGCACACGCTAGGCATGGCCAGTCGTCCACTGGTGGGAGCTACAGGTGAGGTTGGGACGCCTCGGGTCCCCCACGCATGGGGTCACCCCTAAAGCTGTGACCTCCCACCGCTCCTGGGAAAAGCCTGAGATTTGGGTCAGCTGATGTTCCTCTGGGTCCTTGGGGCAGAAACCAGCCCGGGGCCGGGGGGGTCTGAGTCAGCCCAGGCAGGCTGAGATCTGGGTGACATTCAAAAGAATCGGCCTGATCACATCAGTGTCTTGTGCCCCCTGCCCTGCCCTGGTCCAGTGGGCACTAGGGCTGGCGGGAGGGGCGCCCCGAGAACCTCCCTGGCGGGCACCAGTGGTCACTTAGGAGAGGTCGTCACATTCCCTAGTAGTGACCTCTAGAAGTGGAGCAAGCTTGGTGCTTGAAGGCGCGTGAGTGCCTGGCAACAGCCCACCCCACTGCCCCGGCCTGACAAGCGGCTCTCTGTGGGCTTGCGCTGGCCACGGGAAGCCCAGGCAGGCCAGGGGCTCCCCCTGCTAAAGAACAGGACGGCCACAGCCAAGTAGGCCCCAGTCCTGACCTCACCACTGCCTGCCCACGCTGCTGGGCACCCTCGGGCCTCCACCTGTGACCCACCTCGGCCTGGGCCCAATTTAAATTCCTCCCCCTCCCGCCCCCCAACCCGCCACCCGGGTGCGTTAACAACGTGAAACTTGTTAATTCTGATGAGTTAATTACATAAATTAAGTTAGAATTTCTGGAACATTCAGTGCTCTCACACTGGGGTCATAGTATGGCAAGAACTAAAGCCCCCAAGAGTGGTGGGGTGTGCGTCCTGCGGGCCGGGCTGTGTGCAGGCGGCCGCCGCTGGCTTCTCTTCCTAGCCCACCTGGGGGTGCGCCCCCCACCCAGGCACCGTGCTGGTGTCGGTCTCACAGCCCGGCGCTGCCGCAGAGCCTCTCTCTGGGTGGGGGCCGACCCTCCGGGACCTCCGGGACCTCCGTGCCGGTGGGGACGTCACAGGGTGATGAGGGCGCCCTCACCGTGGTCACAACCAAGACGAGGAAGAGCGCCCCGGGCCCCCGCCACCATCCTGTCACGGTTCCCTGAGAAGGCGCAGCCGTCGGGCTGACGCCTCCGGAGGGAAGATCGTGAACACCAACAGCCTCGCCTCGCTCGGCGCCCTAAGTCACCAAACCGTCTGAGGCGCCTGGTGTACGCGGCCGAGACAGCCGTGAGCCGGCGCCTGGCACCTGGGTGCGCGCGAGGCCAGAGACACTCAGGCCGGAAGGTGACTTTTGCCTTGTCCCCTCCGGCTGCTGCCGAAAGCTTTATCAGATTGCGAGTGACAGTTGTGAACTGGCAGTTGGCAGCTTTCCACATAAAATTTCATCGGCCAGTGAAACTTGATTATGGTCAAAGGAGCCAGGAACATTCCGGAGTCCACGAGGCTCCGGCCGGGCGCGGCCGCCCGCGGCGGTCAGTGGTGGGGAGAAACAACTCCATTTTTTAAAAGTCGTATTAAATATAAGTCTTAGCACCTTTGGCATTTTTGTCCAAATAGACCTCGAGGTAAGACGTGGGGACGTAGCCCTCCTCGTCCTCGCTCCTCCGGATGCGCGTCCAGCCGTCCCCCTTGTCCTCCTCTATGACGTACAGCGTCTCTCCCTCGGCCACCGAGATGGTTCCTTCATTCTGACCTGGAAAAGCCACAGCAGAGCTCGACTCGGGGGGGACCGCGCGGGCGGGGCGGGGGGTGGCTCCTTGCCGTCCACGCCCCTTGACCTCTCGCGCCCATTTTGGCCTGGAGCCTCCCACCTGGGGCCGTCGCGGGCCTCGTCTTTGGCAGCTGGGGCACGCGGGGCCGCG